TCCATTCTTTTGTTGATGAGCACTTGGGTTGCTTCCATTTCTTTGCTATTGTGAATAATGCAGCAGTAAACATGGGTGTGCACACATCTGTTTGAGTTGTGGCTCTGGTTTCTTTAGGGTATATTCCAAATAGTGGAATTGCTGAGTCAAATGGTATTTTTTTTTCTCTTTCTTTATAATGTTTCTTTTTTTTATTAAATTTTATTAGTTTTAATGAACATTTACAGAGATTTTGGGTTTTCATTCATTCATTGTTGCACTGTTTTCTCCACCCTCCTCCCCAGTTTGCTCTTCTTCCCCCCCAATGTCTGTTTTAATTGTCCAATTGCCACAGTGCTTGTCAAAGCCAGTTCTGATTAATCTCCTTTGTCAGTGTGCCCCTTGCCATTCCCTATCACTCCTCCCTGAGAGAGACTTCACCCTGATTCATAAGGAAAAGGGGATGGCATATTCTCTTAGCTACTTCCTGCTGAAAAGGAACGCTGTGGGTTTCAGGGTGAATGTCTTCTCTCACTACTCCAAAGGGCCCCCTTAGCAGTAGGAAACACATAGACTATTATGGAGATTGATTTTGGAATTTAGATGCACTGTTATCAGTTGTGCTTAGCCATACATGTTCATATCCTTGAAGATGTATCATGGAAGTGTTGCAGCCTAGAAGATACAAATTTAACTAACAAGTTAAAAGTGCATGAGTCAAAAATTGAAAAGCAATAGTATTCTGAGTAGAGGTTCTAATAGTGGCACAAATCAAGTTACAGAGGTAAGGTGGTTCCATTGCCATCCTTACTCTAACTTAATTTTTTTAAATTTAAATTTGTTATTAATTTCAGTGAAAATTTACAGAGACTTTGGATTTCCATTCATTCATTGTTGTAGATTTGTCCCCTCCCAAGGCTCACCCCCACCAGACATTACCCTCTTGGAAAAGTAAAAGAAAAGATTCTTTCATTATTTTACAAACCCTCCCCCCAGGTCCACTCCACCATGTAGCCATCGCTCTAGACTCCTGTCATGACCGAAATACCTAATCACATATCTCTTTTAAACAGTTTTCTCCCTTCTCTGTTTCAGAGCAGCATACATTATTGAACCCATCTTACTCAGTCTCTCCCCAACCCCAAGGACAGTCCCATTCTACAACAGTGGCACCATGCAATATTTGTCCCTTTGTGACTGGGACATTTCACTCAGCATAATGTTCTCCAGAGTCAACCATTTTGAGTAATATTGCATGAGTTCCTTGTTTTTTAATGCAGCATAGTATTCCATTGTGCGAATATACCACAGCTTCTCTAGCCATTCGTTTGTTGATGGACACTTAGGTTGTTTCCAACTCCCTGCTATTGTGAACAAAGCTGCAATAAACATGGTGTGTATGTATCTGCTGGGATGTAAATGGTATTTTTATTCCCAACTTTTTTGAGAAAGCACCAAACCACCTTCCATAGTCATTGTGCCATTTTACATTTCCACAGGCAGTGAATAAGAGTCTCTTTCAGACTCTTCACAACCTCAAGTGCAGTGCAATCTCAAAGTAGAAACCAATTCCATTCCTCAATGAGATGGAAAAGACACTTTCTAATTTTATTCAAATAAGTAAAGCACTACCAAAAAAGAGAAACAAAATAGGAGGCATTACACTTCCTGATCTCAAATCCTACTACACAGCTGTGGTGGTCAAGATAGCATGGTATTGGTATAGCAATTGGTGGAAGAGAATTGAGAATCCAGAAATCAGCTCATCAACCTATGGTCAACTGATGTTTGACAAGAAGATGGAATCAGTGAAGTGGGGAAATGACAGCCACTTTAACAAATGGTGCTGATAAAATTGGAAAACTGCAGAAAACTTAGGCAAGGCTCACACTTCACACCATACACAAAACCAGCTCAAGGTGGATCAGGGACCTATGAATAAAACCAAAGACTGTAAAATTTATCAGAGAAAACCTAGGAACAATTCTAGAAGCCCTCATCCCCAGCATGAAGAGACTTCCAAGCATAATGAAAAACATACAACCAGGAGAGAATAAGATAGGTGAAGGTGACCTTCTAAGGATCAAATCTCTATGCCCATCAAAACACTTTTCCAACAGGATAAAAAGGAAACCCACAGATTGGGAAAAATACTCAGCAATGGCTTATTTGATAAGGGATTTATACCCATAATTTCTAGACTACACTGGCACCTCAACAAGAAAAAGATAACCCAGTCACAAAATGGGCACAGGATATGAATAGACACTTAACCAAAGAAAACATTCATATGGTAAACAAAATGTATGAAGAAATGTTCAAAATCTCTAGCTGTCAAAGAGATGCAAATAAAAACAACTACAAGATACCCTCTCATGCCAGCAATGATAGCAAAGTTCAGCAGGACAGCAAATAATAAATACAACCTGTATTTTTGAATCTTTCCTATTTCTTCACCTACCACTCCCTGCCAATCTGTCCATTAAACTCCGCTATCCTGCTGATTTCCACCCTTCTCCTTTTTCCTCCCTCTTCCCTCTTTCCTCTTCTGGACATTTATCTTACTTTTAATCTTGTACCTTACTATATAATCTTATACATTAACATTACTAGCTATCTCATTTTTACAATAATAGTCTTACACAGTGTTTATCTTTATGAAACAATTAGTTCATTCAGCATAATGCTGTCTAGACTCTCCCATGTTATGTAGTATTTTACAAACTCACTATTCCTTAGTGCTGCATAGTATTCCATTATCTACAGTTTCTCAAGCCATTTTTTATTGATGAGCTTTTGTGCTTCTTCTGTATGAAAAAATTTGTAAAGAAAAGTTAGTGATAGAGCTTAAGAAATTAAAATGAAGTGATCAATTGGGGTGCAAATCTGGGCAGTCTCATTCAAGAGCCTTCTATCTCCCTAACCAAGCCCCAAGGAAAGCTGGTGGTGTAATGGCAAAGGGTCCAGTTGCTCAATAGAAGGCCACAGCTTGAACCCACTTAGCATCTCCACAGGAATCAATACTGTAGCTTGGCTCTTGTGAATATTACAGCCTAGAGAACACTATGGAGCAGTCCTACATTGCCACATGGAATTGTTGTGAGTCACATTTGACTCAGTAGCATCTAATAAGAAGTAAGTCTTCACTTCTTTCTTTTCCCCTTCCTGATAAATGCTACATACTGAGATTTGGATGTGCAATCAAACCAGTAGCTAAGGAGTAGGTATGATCTTCTTGCCTTTGTTATTACTAATCCCTGCTTTCCCCTGTTTCTTGATGCCCACCATCGCCACCACCATAACATGCATGCTCTGTCAGTGTCATCATGCCACTAAACTTTAACTGAAAACCATCGCTCTTGGACCAACAAGTGTTTTGACAGCTGACACTTGATATATATTATCACAGTATAAACATAATTCACTGTTTAATAACTGTCCATCATAATGTCTCTTGAAAATCAAAGAAAGCCTTTTGTAAAATAAAAAAACATGCCTTAATTTTTTCCAAGACATTTACTTTATTAAACCATATTTGCTTAAAGCCAAATGTAGCTGTAGTTGATCTGGGACTCATGTTGTTTCTCTAATCTCAACTAAATAAATTTATTAGCATGACTTTTTGCATACAGAGGACTTCTTGAACAGTTATTTTTAGCTGATCATCATAAAATTGGACTTCCAGAAGCTACTGTGGACGCAGCTAAGTCTTGCTGATTTTTTGTTCAACGAACCCATGATTCTTTTCATTGTTGAAGTTGTTTGTTTGTTTGTTTGTTTGTTTGTTTTTAAAAGAGCTCTGGTGGTGGAGTGGATAGCATATTGCCCTGCTAATGCAAAGTTCAGCAGATTGAATCCACCAGCCTCCCTGAGGCAGAAAGTCACACAATGGAATACTAGGTAGCATGCAGGAGCAATAACTTTGTAAACTATTATCTAACTTGGGAGGGACTGGAGAGCATTATGTTGAGTGAACTAATTCAGTCCCACAAGGATAAATATTGTGAAAGACCATTATTGTAGAAGTAGTATAAGAATTCAGGGTGGGTGGGAGAGGCTGGAAGCAGAGGGATATGGACGTACAGTGGGAAGAGGGGATTAATCATTGGAGTGTTCAATTTGGTGGGTGGGGGTGTGTGAGAGAAATCGAAAGAATTTGTTCTAATTTGTATTAGAATTTTGTAAATAATATAGTTAAAAAATACATTTAGAAAAAATTACAGCCTCAGAAACCAAATGAAGATTCACTAGGAGTCAGACACAATTGCATGGCACTAGGGGATTTTTGGGTGTGTTATTTCTTGACTATATGAAAGGAGGGTGGTGAAGATTGGACAGGGTTCAAATTTGTTGTTCATAGGGTCACTATGAGTTGTTGTTGACTCCGTGGTATCTAACAGCAACAATGTGTGATGGGATTTTATGTATCAGAATTTACAACAGACCATAAGCTTCAGATAAATACCTGTGCACCCAAATATGCACTGAAATCTTAAAGTCAGTTATTTAAAATGCATTAGCAGCTATCAGGTTAGAGTTACGTCCTCTCCATGTAGAAACAGAGGGCCTTTGAAAAAGCCTCTGTGGAATTTTCACCTTTTTATTTGTAACTGATTTCTCATTACCAAATAATTGATGCCACTATTAATCAAGAACAATCCCAAGCTGTTTCCATAAATAAGAGTGACCCCATGAGAATAGTTTTGGTCCTTTGGGAAATGACACCCTGCCCTTCTTGACAAATGCTTGGTAATGGCCTACTTATACTCCATTATGTTTGCCTTCTAAGTGCCATTACGAGTTTCTTTTACATTCTTTTCATTAGGGAAAAAATTGGCCATTAATGCAAGTTTTTAAAGAGCCATTTTAAAATATTTGCAGATTGGGCACTAGAATGAACTCACTAACCACATCCCTGAAGTGGTACATCAAGCTGAGCTGAAGGGAGCAGCTTTTGATGGAAGGATAGTCTCCCTTCGAAGCCCAGTGCTCCATAAAAGCTTTTCTGTGTTATTTTTCAGGTATGTGGCCAGTTGGATAGACAGAAGGCGGCATCAATCAGAAAAGGCCAACTTAACTATTCTTTTTGATAAGTATGTTCCTGCATGCTTGGATAAGCTGAGAACAAGCTTTAAAACCATCACTTCAATTTCAGAAAACAGCCTGGTGCAGGTCAGCTCTTTTTTATTGTAGTGATTCTGGCTTTGATATGGCAGTGGGGTTTGACTGAAAGGATAGGAGGTTTTGCTTGGTTTAAAAGACGGGAAGATATCTGGAATGGTTAGGTTACTCTAAACCACTCCTCCCCCCATATTCATGTTTCCTATTGCTTTTACTTGTTTAGTTGTTGCAAATATATGTATGTAACAAAACATACTTTATCATTTCATGACTCTTTACAACTATAATCATCATCGACTTGCAACTTTCCCCTTAATAGAAACTCATTGTCTTTTAAGTCTTGAGTCCCTTTAACCTCTCCTCTCCCATCTGCCTCTGGGACCACTAATAATCTTGGGTCTTTATCTATGGGGAGCTCTGAGGCCGTAGCCATGGGATTGTGTCGTTAACTCAGAGATTGTGCTCCCAGAAGTCCAAATTATTAGCTACTCTGCGGGAGAAAGATGATGCAATTTACAACCTCTGAAAACCCACCAGAGTGGCAGCTATGAGTCAGTTCCAAGTGGCCAGCAATGAGTTGTTAAGTTGATGTTTAGATAATTGCCCATCCCTCGATGTTTTCTTTATCTCACATATGTAGGGCATGCTGTCAAGAGGGGCTAGTCTTTTAAAAAAAGAAAAGAAAAACCAGGAAAGGTAGAGTCAGCAAAAGAAAAGAAGAACCCCAAAGAGACGGATTGGCACAATGGCTCCAACAAAGGGCTTGGACATGATGGAAATCTTGAGATGGCAACAGATAGGGCAAGGTTCATTGAGTCATTCTGAGTTGCAGTCAACTCAGAAGCCCCCGGCAACATCATCAAAAAAATGTTTGCCTGGTCTAGGTATTTAATACCTAAGTGGAAGGAAAGCTCCATGATTTTTTTTTTTCAGAGACAACACCAAATCCCTAACACATCACAGGTGCTAAGTATGGGGTTTTGGAGTCATTGTTTCCTTCCAAGTATATTTGAGCAGAACAGGATCTCAGCAGCTTTTTGTATTTTTCTATTTCCTGAGTAATTTGCCCAGAGAAGGTGCTCAGTGTGCCTTTTGAATGAAAGAAATTAGTGCAATTAAAATGTTGGCCAGAGAATAAGAGAAAAACTTCTAAATTTTGCCATAAATGTGTTACCACCCACAGACCTCCCACTCTGCCCTTCTTTTCTTCTCTCCCCTTCCCCTCCCAAAAGATTTCTTAGGTCCTGTCAATATAAATGAAAAGTTCAGAATATTCTAGGGGGAAGTTTTTCTGATCCTAATTACAAGACAGCTGGTAAGAGTGAAAGGTATATATGATATGTTGTCATGGAAGCAAATGAAAATAATTCACAGCACACAGCAATGAAGGTTTTGAATTAATCTCAGCATGAAGGAAAACTCACCCCAGCCTCTGTAAGCATAAAACTTCACTGAAAGGTCCCTCCCCATAGAAGCAAATTTTGTTTCTAAATTCTTTGTTACTGTCAAGTTACCATGTTACCAAATTTGCTTGAAGCTAAGTGGAAAATAGTTACCAGCATAATAAGAAGAGAAAGTTAAGGTTTTTGGATAATTCACACACCAATTAAGTAAACGATAGTCTTCAGCAGTAATTATCTGAGGTATAATTTCTTTCTGAAAGCAGGTCTGAATTTATTCATAATGAATTAATTATGTGGTTAGCCTAATTAGACTTCCTCTGGTGTAATACTTGCAAAAGCATGATAATGTTCTTTCTCAAGTTGGCTTGTGTATTTGTGTGATTCTCTGTGGTGTTAACTTTTTTTCATTCAAGACTAGTGTGAAAATAGGTCAGTAGGAATTAATATGACTTCACTCTCACCTCCTCCTTTTGTAGTATGCAGAAATGTCATTTTATCATTAGCTACCCGCCACCCACCCCACTGTTGTTTTATAGCCTCTTTTTTGTGGTTACCTGTAAGAACAGAGATTTATGACAGAAATGAATATAAAAAAGGGATACTTTAAAATGGCCCCCTTAAAAAAAATGGCCCCCTTAAGAACTTAATATGCTGTGTTTTACAAAATACGAAAAAGCTTAACTTTGGTTCTGGTAATAAGCATTAATTCTTTCAGAATACACTTTAAAATATGTATTTGTTAATTGTTAGCACAGGAACTAAAGCATTTTTTTAAAAGTATTGTATTTGGGAGAAAATTTTAAAAAACCAACACAATATTTTGTCATTAGAATTTGCAGCTCAGTGGACTGGCCACGGTGAAACCTTCAGTCTTTATTGTTTTGATCTTAACATTCTTCAGAACAATATGGCTTCCACTCAGAAATTGCATAGTCCTGGAGTTCTACATTATTTTTCTTGACAACAAATTCTATTTCCTTACAAAAACTAGAGCCTTATTTTATTTAAAATTTCATTTAAATTGACAACTATGGTATAATATTAAATAATAGAAATCAGAAGACATTTAAAAGTATAAGGAGTGTTCACCTGTTTCTATTAAAATATTTTGGGGGTTTGATGTTGTTATTGTTGTGTACCAGTGAATCAGAACCAACCCATACCTGACCCTCAAGTGGGTTTTCAGAGGCAGTAAATTGCATGGGAGGATATCGAACATCTTTTTTTCTACAAGGCATCTGTTGAATTTGAACCAAGTGCCTTATGGTTGGTAGTGTAGATCATTACCACTAAACCCTCAGAGCCCTCTAAGGAAAAAAGTAGTTTCAAACTATTTCCAAGATCAATTTACCTGTCTCTCTTGGGTTTTACCCTCATTTCCCCAGCTAACAAAGAAGGGCACATTCAATCTTGTCTGGCTTTATTACTGCTTGCATTGCTCTTTTGTGCGATAATGACTGATATCTATTGTTGCCTCCAAAAATAGTGGACAGGACATCATGAGCTATTTGGATCCAATGACAATGCTCATTACCGACAAATGATGTGTGTGCTTCAGAGAAGGAGCCAAAAAGTGTGCTCAGACTGGTTATTAGTCCTTATGGGAGAGGCATTTATTGCAACTATGGTCTCATTGTTCGCAGTGGGACTACCCACACCACGGGGCGTGTTTATGGCCAGGAGGGTGCTTGGGTGTCATCTGAGTGTGTGAAGGACACATTCCTGGACAGCACTTCTTCCCAGGTTAAATTTAGTCTGGTGTCTAAAATATGCCACAGGCTAAGGCTGCCAGCCCAACATTCTAAATTTGTGACAACAGGTGGCCAAACCTACTGCCAAAGCCATAGTGGGAAGTAGGTTATCTAAATGTGCAATGATGTGAAAATAGTCAGTAGAGTGGAGTCTTGTGCATTAAATCCTGATGATATCACAGCATAGTACTTTTTGATAAGCAAAGATGCTTTTCATATATTTTTAAGTGGGAAAGTAAATTATGGAATATTATGTATAAAATTATTCCTAAAAAGGGCATCATTATATGCCTGTTCTTTTTGCTTCTTTAGGTTATATTTATTTCAGGGTTTTGTTTATTATTGTAGTACATACACATGACATGAAACTGGGTTAACTGGTAGCCCACTGAGTAAGGAGTGGCACTGGCAACCCAAAGGCAGGAGGTTCAAATCTACCAGCTGCTCCTGGAGAGAAAGATGGGCAGTGTCCTCCTGTGATATTCACAGCATCTGAAAACCCTTTGGAGGACCAGCTATAAGTCAGTTCTGAATCGACAGGAATGAGTTAGAGGAAAACTTTTACCATTTAACACCCTTCATATGTAATTTACTGACATTAATTTTATATACCATATTGTCCAACCAGCACCATAGTTGTTTCTACATTTCCCCACAGTCCTTTCCAGAAACTTGAGGTCCCATAAGCAACGAGCCCAATTTTTGTCTTTATTCCTTCTTGGCCCCAGTAACTACTAATAAACTCTGCTCTCTGTACACTCGCCTCCTCTGGATATTTCTAAAAGTGATGCCATACAAAATTTTTCTTTAGAGTGATTTTAGTTGGGTAATATAATTTTTTAATCTTTATAATACTAGTTTGCTGTTACCTTGAGTATCAGTATGGAGCTCTGGTGGCCAAGTGGTAACGAGTCTTGCTGCCAACCCAAAGGCACATGGCTCAAATCCACTACCTCTTCCATAGGAGAAAAATAGACAGTCTCCTCCCCTTCTAGTTAAAGGCCCTGAAAACCTGCTGGTGGGTCAATTATGAGCTGGTCCAAACTTGTCAGAACCTAACAACAGCACAATATAATATCAATGTGGTTAAACGGGACGGGAGTTTTCTACCATTGGCTTAGAAACCTAAAGCAGTAATTTTTCTAAATTTTTTTATGATCAGGCATAGTTTTAATCTATTAAACACAAGGACACTATAAGTAACATTTAATAAACCAGACTTACTTAACAACAACAAGAAGACAAATATTTGATGAACGTATTTTAGCTATGATATGGATTTAACTATGGCAGCTATGCCACTATTTTATTGTGATTTGAATAAAGGTATTCAGAGTAAATTAAATTTTCATTTAACCATCCGTGCACATTTTGTACTATAGCATCAATTTTAATAAAGCTTACATACAGATTTGATTTAAAGATAAATTTATAATAGAACTTATTAATAATCTAGGCTTATTTATATAATACCTAAATCACATAACCTCTATTTAATGAGACAGTGTGGACATTAAGCCACACGTGAATGCAGCTATGGTAAAAGTCCTAAGAGAAAAATAACTGTCAATCTGGAATAATCAGTGATGTGCAGTAATTTTTAGCTCTTACAAAGTCATTCGTTTATGGAGTTGGGAAAAAAGTTTATCATCTACTAAAGATAAAATGGATTTGTGGGAAAGATCTATGAAAGTTACACTATTAATTTTTAAATGTCCCAAATGAACAACTGTTGCTTTCTCATTAGACTATTTGCGCTCTTTTGGAATGCCTGTTAACACCTGAAAACGTCCCCTCCGACAGCCCCAAGGAAATTTATGAAGTCTATTTTGTCTTTGCTTGTATCTGGGCCTTTGGAGGTACTCTGCTACAAGATCAGGTAAGTTTATAAATAGTTTCCAGTATAAGTTGCCCTGCTCTATAACTCGTTCAGCATTTCTTAAGATCAAGGAACTGAAGAACAAATTCAAACCTCGCGTTGCTATAATCAAGGATGCTTCAGGCAGAATATTATATGATCCAGAAAGTACTAAAAGAAGATGGAAGGAATATACTGAGACATTGTATCGAAAGGAATTGGCAGATAAAGAAGAATTTAATTAAATAACATTTGAGCAAGAGCCTAGGTGATGAAGGAAGAAGTTCAAGCTGCTTTGAAGGAAATAGCAAAAAAATAAGACCCCAGGAATAGATGTTATACCAATTGATGTATTTCAGCTAACAGATGCTGCCATGGATGTGCTCACCAAGTTGTGCCAAGAAATCTGGAGAACAACCACTTGGCTAACTGACTGGAAGAGATCTATATTTGTTCCCATTCCAAAGAAGGATGACCCAACAGAGTGTGGAAACTACAGAACAATATCATTGACTTCACATGCAAGCAAGATTCTACTGAAGATTATCCAAAAACGACTAGAACAGCACATCAGTAG